TTTACAGGTTAGTAACAATATAGATGTTAATTTGAGTGTATAATTATGTACACCACTATAAATTGGTCTAAATGACTTGGATTTTTCTGAGATGTTAGGCTTGCAGCGAATGTGTGCATATTTGAGACAAATATATTCGGTCATCAAAATATAATTACATTTTATCACATAGGCAAACCATTGAGTCATATTTTCTAATTTTTAGGAAAAAATCAATTACTCTATGGATCACCGCAGATTATATAACAAAGACTTAAACAATGGGGTAAATAAAGAATCTATTGTGATCTTTTATTACGTACAAAATCATTACCATAAATTACGTCGTAGAATAATCTCCATTGGAGGTTGAAATTGCATTAAAAGAAAAAAAAAAGAGAACGTTTGGGAATTTGTAGAATTAATGTATACATTCCTGATGTCATCACTATTTTAATTATATAACTACAAAATCATTTGAAGGAGATTCGTTTTAAGAGGATTACAGACTTATTTGCAGCCTAATATTTCAACGGTCGCTTTGGTTCGTCGACGAAGCGCCCTTCAGCGACATCTATTGTATAACAGAACTCAAACTGTGCAAACACAGATATGTTTGCATTGAATCATCGTTCCGCGAGGACGTGTTTCTCCTTTCGCGGAAAGAACACGGCGCGTTCGAAATGAGGTGCCGGAGCTCGTTGCATTGTGCAACGTTCCACCGCAAACGGAACGCTTAATTTCACCGTTCCCAAACACTGGCTCACCATTCGTGGTTGAAACTTAAACCGAAGAGTCGGCAGACGGGATTCGACCGAGTGTCCGGTTTCTTTCAGCTGAATTGTGTCTTTGGAATAATCATCGGAACACGTCGCGTCGGTAATCACCGACGATACGGTCAATTAGTAGTGATCTTTTAATAGAAATGGCTCTTTCAGTGGACTTATGTAAAATGAAAATAGTCTGCATCAATTGCGAAAAAGCAATTAGAGTTTCGGTAATCTTAACTCTTTGTGGTTAGGTTTACTAGACAAGACTTTTGTACTAATAAGTAGTTTGTACTTATTGGGTTGGCAACTAAGTAATTGCCGATTTCAGTTATAGATGTCTCTCACTCCCATTTTTATGATATCCGTAAATGTTATATTATAAAATTATTATTATTATTATGTTATTTTTTATTATCCGTGAGTGTTAGCAACTGGACAAATTGAATGCAGCGGTCAAGGAAAAGTGACCAGAATTGGTCAATCGTAAAGGTGTCATTTTCCAGCAGGACAATGCTAGGCCGCACACGTCTTTGTCCACACGGCAAAAATTGATGGATATTGGTTGGGAATTGATGTTACACCCACTATATAGCCCTGATCTCGCGCCATCGGATCACCACTTATTTCGATCCCTGGACAACTCCCTTCGTGGTAAAACTTTTAACGACGATGACGCTGTAAAATCTCACTTAACTCGGTTTTTGGCCGAAAAGGATCAGATTTTCTACGAGCGTGGAATTTTCAAGTTGTCGGAGAGATGGCAAAAGGTCATCGAACAAAATGGAAAATACATTACAGATTAAGCTTCGTTCCAAGTAAAAAAAAACTTTTTATTTCATTGAACAAATCGGCAATTACTTAGTTGCTAACCCAATAATTAATCTTATTCTTTTGAGTTAACCCCAGGACGCTCTCGAGGTATTAGAAGGTTCAAGGTCTGCTTAAGGGAGGGTCATATGAAATAATATATGTATACGACTCTGGTCATATACAAAAATATAAGAAATAAGAAATTATTTTTTCTGTTATATTTATTTATACGATACTGTTAGATAATACGTTTAGGAAAGAATGAAATACAAACAATTTATAAAAGAACATTGTTGGAATAGATATACGTGCTCAGAAGAGGTTATGTAAAGATTAGGTAGTTTGTTATTCCAGGTGTCTTAGAGGTTTCTAATCAATTAATAGTTTTCTAATTAATCTTATTCTTTTGAGTTAACCCCAGGACGCTCTCAAGGTATTAGAAGGTTTAAGGTCTGCTTAAGGAAGAGTCATATAAAATAATATATGTATACGACTCTGGTCATATACAAAAATATAAGAAATAAGAAATTATTTTTTCTGTTATATTTATTTATACGATACTGTTAGATAATACGTTTAGGAAAGAATGAAATACAAACAATTTATAAAAGAACATTGTTGGAATAGATATACGTGCTCAGAAGAGGTTATGTAAAGATTAGGTAGTTTGTTATTCCAGGTGTCTTAGAGGTTTCTAATCAATTAATAG